CAACCCTCGCTCTGACTGATCCCTTTCCCTGGCGGCGGAACTCGTGCCGATTCACCACCCTCCTCCTCCTCCTCCTCCTCCTCCTCCTCCCCAGGGCTGGTGCCGACGCTCTTCGCGGGGGCCGGAGAAACGGGGGTGCCGTCCAGGAGAGCGGGCGATCCTTCGCCCGAAGCGTCGGCGGGAAGAAGGACGGCCGACGGCTCGCTGCTCGCAGCGCCTGCCTCGGCACCGAATTCGTCCTCTGCCGCCGAACCCTCTCCTCCGTCACCTGGCGCCGCCGCCGCCGTCGTGCCTGTCTGATCTCCGAGGCTGCCCGCGCGGTCTCCTTGCGGAGCAGGCTCCGGGTCGCCCGGCTGCACCCAACCCCCCTGCTCGTCCCCGCCCCCCTCGCCGGCGCCCTCGTGTGGCTCCTCTTCTCCTTCGTCCTTACCGTCTCCAGGAGGTTGGACGAGCCCCTGTGCCTCATCCTCACCGAGATCGTTCTCTTCCTCGCCCGCGCCCTCGAGCGGCTCTTCTTCTGCTTCTGCTTCTTCCTCTTCTGCCCCGTCTCCGGCAGGCTGGACGGCGTCGGAGGCCGGCGAATCTTGCACCGTTGTGGTCTCGGAGTCACTTCTCGCGGTCGAAGTCGTAACCGAGGCTGACGACGCGCCTTCCCCTCCTTCTCCCCCTCCTTCTCCTCCTTCTACCTCGACAGCCGCCTCTACCTCGACAGCCGTCTCTACCTCGACAGCCGTCTCTACCTCGACAGCCGTCGCCACCGGCCTCGCGCTCCCTCGGCCGGCGCTTTCCGTCGCAGACACGGTTTCTAGGGCATCCCCCGCCCCGTTTGGCGCAAGCAAGGCTTCCTGGATGTCTGTCTCCGGGGTTTCCAAAGGGTTGGTTGGCGGCTGCGGTTGCTCAGGCGCCACCACCGCGGAACCGCCGACAGAATCGTCTTCCTCTCCTCTGCCCTCCTCATCCGATGCCGAGCGCTCGTCACGGCCCGAAGAAACGGAGGCTCCTGCCTCTCCTTGGCTGCTACCCGCCTGTTCGTGCGGTTCTGACCAAAAGAAAACAGGACGTCGTCGGATGG